ACCTTAAAAATGACACTGATAGTGAATTCGATTTAAAAAATATATATTTAACGCTAATTAAAAGTAACGGCACATAGTAAGAGAAATTTATCGCAACTTGTCATAAGTTGATTTTTTTTTTCCTTTACCTACCAGCTTTTGATTTTGGAATATGCAGCTGAATGATGAGAATCTTGCAAAATATTACTTTTTCGTTTTTGTTTACTTTCTTTCAAATGTGATTATTCAAGAAATTATGTTTTTGTTTATACATTCGGTTAATCTGTTCAATAAACGCCCACAAATTATTATTCAATTAAAGTTTCGTACGAAGAAATTTTATTATTGTTAAACCGTAAATAACTCCCATAAAAAAGAACTTTCTAAAATGTTCCTAGAAAACAATTCTTGGTAGTTTGTAGTGAAAGAATTCATGCCCAAATTCCATACACTGAGATTATGTATTCAGGCAGCGTAGAATTTGTAGTTTGTTTCTATTTTAAACTACAGATGTAAGTTTTCCTTTTATATGTTTTATTGTGCAATGTTTTGCCTCACACAGTTGAATTTTTTGAAACTTTCATCAATTCACTTCTACTACATTTGTTGTTATTGACTCAGATACAGATAAGGCTAGGATATGTCAAAACAAGTTTCACCCATACAAGCATGGTGGGCCTCCAGCGACTATATCATACTGATTAATTTATAAAAATTAATACTTCAATTGAAAAAATATCGGATACTATATAAGTAATAGAGAAAAGAAATGGGTTTGTATTGCATCTTTCTATAGAAATCCTTTAAAACCGAAAATGTTTTGGAACTAGTGTAAATTTTCTAGACATTTATTTGAAGAAACATAATACTGAAATATAATTGCAACATGAAGTTCTTACGCTTTATATTACACTCACGGTGTCAACCGACTCCTCCTAACGATTCATTCCGAATTTTAAAAATATTAAAAGACTGTGCAAAACATATTGTAATAATATATATATAAACAGGTGTCTTAATACCGTTTAGTAGAATTAATTTCCGTAACTTTCACATTTACCAAAAGAAACACACATTAACAATGTGTCTTGTAATCAGTTCTCGCGATTTCAGCCTACTATCACTTTTCTATATTTAAAATCTATCGACGAGACTTTTATACTTGACTTTTTTGTTACACCAAACTATTCCCGCATAATTTTTACTAAAGGCTACATACAGCTTGAAATGTAGCTAACCCAGATGCTGATCACTATCATAATTCTTAAAAAAGTTTTCAAAAGTTCTTTATAAACATGAAGACCAAAAGATAACGAATTTTTCAAAATAGTTTAGTTTGTCAAAACTAAAAGATGTAGCTTAGGGACATTTGTTGTCCAAGTTTGAAATAGCGCGTCATTAAGAAACAACTTGTTTTATAAAAAAAAATCTATAAAAGTGCAAGATACTCCTCTTGTGACAAATATTTAAACATACAGAAGTGCATAAGTTACACCCGAGCAAAACTGTGAATGAGTAACATCTAGCAGGCATACGCATAACAGTTAAGATAGTACAAGAACAGATTATGCTTTGGTGTGAACATGGCACAACAGGTCACACAGTTTGTCCATACAATCGGTTATTTATCTTTTTTTCTGATGTATGTTGAGATATTTATAGCAAATTATTTTTTAAACTTTTAAGCCTTTCCTGTATTTTCGCCTATAATCTGCTTATGTGAACGATTCAAATATAATAGTTCTCTCATACCAATGATAACTATACCCTTGCTTAAACCTATACATTTAAAACGGACTCTTGTGGAGTGCCTCACTTCTAATATCGAATTAAATATGTAAACAAAAATTTAAATTGTAAAGTGAATGAAGGACGATAATAGAATCTTATATTACTTTGTACTTTCTAGAAGCATTAAAAGAAGACAACGTCGGACCTATTGTTCCAACTCGGCTGTTCCATCCTCTAAACTAAATTAAAATAAATAAATTAATCAAATCTTAAACCCAGCCCTTATCACTCGTATACTTATCAAGCTTTTTCATAAAACTCACTTAAATTTACTACTTCCACAACATCCGAAG